AAGGTTTTGGGTCTATTCAACTAAAGTGTAGTAGAGGCTTTATTTATTAATAAATTTGAAAAATAGAATTTACCAATTTTAAATGCTGGCTTAGAGAAATAATATTAATGCTTAAAATTGAAAATGAATTTTAAAAGATGACATAATACTGATTTCTAATTAACCAAGTAATCTTTATTTTAACTCACTATACCTACATATCTTGAGATGAGGTAGTAATTTATTTAGGATGTATAAGATATAATTAAAAAAACGAGGAATTGAATTGATAATAGGGTTATTATAACAAAGGTCTATATCTATCGTAAGTGATTTGGATCTCTATTCTTAAGACTTGAAGGGATGGAATAATTTAAAATCTTTAATTGCTTCAAGGTCTCTTTCTTATAGTGAAAAAAACTTTGCCTGCCCAGCCTCTGAATATAGAGCTAATTTATAAAGAGCTTGCCTTATGTCTAAAGATTTGATGTTTGTTTATGAAATCTTATAAGTAAGATAAAATATCAATATTATAATCTATTCAAAGTAACTATGACGGTTGATCCATGAACAATGCTGGCACCATTACAAGTCTCGGTATTCATCCAAGGTGATGCTGTTTGTTTTGAAATGTTTAAAATTGCTACTTTTGATAAGCAAATCATTGAAAAATATTATTAAAAACTAGCTTAAGAATCCTTTGAAATATGCTTGATATATGATAAAAAATTAATTAATTTAATTTATTATTAGTAATTTGAATGCTAGTTTAGTATGATGTCCTAGTGTGAGCAATATAATTAGAATTCTGAGTTCCACATGCCTCTACTTAAGACATCTCCATCAGAATAAATCTGAGTGAGGCAATTGTGTGTGGAGCAAATTTTGTAATGCTACTTAAATAACAGTTAAATTTTAGTGCAATATCAATTAAAATTTGTGAACCTCAAATAAAAATTGGGTCAATTCTGAAAGATATTATTTCAACTTTTTGGTTACTTGTAGATTATTAAATAGATTCCTAATTAAATAAAGATTGATTAGCGTTGTTCTTGGTTAATTCCTATAAGAAAAGCATGATCATAGCAACTTAGAATTGTTTTGTATTTTTTAAACTTAACATCAAGCAGCTATTAAGTCTAACAATCCTTAAATAGAAATCTAGGCGGTATCCACAATCTTTAGCAAGAATTTTCTCAAGAAATCATATGAAGGTTCACAATATTATTTTTATAGATAAGATTTTGAATTTCTATTAGGTTAGAATATAAATAGTATAAACTTAATAGGATTAATTGTTTCGATTCCTATTTGTTTTTTTTTGAAAATGTTGCTACAAAATATGAACAATATAATTTTTACTATTAAACGCAATACTATTTTTTGGTGAAAAAATTTAGATAATGATGTAAATTTGTAATGTATTTGGTAATGAAATAATTGTCAGGAAGAGAGAGTTAATTTTTGAAATAATATTAATATAATTTGGAATTCACAGAATATAAAATTAATATGGAGAATATATAATTAAATCGAAAGATAGAAAGAATATTTATATTTAAAAATTGGATTATTCATTTTTTCAATTTCTGTTCACAAAATTCTAGATTGACAAAATACAAGTACCCTTTTGATTTTTGGTCCATGTGTTATTTGATTAGACCTTTAAACTTCTTTCATAATATATTAGAGCTTCTTAGTATTTCTACTAATCTTGTAAGCAGATTCCTGAAATATAAAATCAACACATACCAAGACTATCAAGACTAAATGTGTGGTTAGGATTGAGCTAAATAGCTTAATGGAGAATTTTTTCAGATTTATCAAATTACTTCAATAATCTTAAACAATCACCTATTAATATAAGGATGATGAAATCTACCTTTCTCACTTAAGGAAACAACATGTTTTGGATCAATAGCTAATGCCTTGTCCGACCAATTGATTGCATCCTCGTATTTATTTAGCATCCTTAAACATTCACCTATTTATATAAGGATGATGAAATCTACCTTTATTAAATAAGGAAACAACATCTTTTGGATCAATAGCTAATGCCTTGTCCGACCAAGTGATTGCATCCTCGTATTTATTTAACATCTTTAAACATAAACCTTATAATATAAGGATGATGAAATCTACCTTTATTACATAAGGAAACAACATGTTTTGGATCAATAACTAATGCTTTGTCCAACGAAGTGATTGCATCCTTGTATTTATTTAACATCATTAAACATTAGCCTATTTATGTAAGGATGATGAAATCTACCTTTATTACTTAAGGAAATAACATAATTTGGATCAATAGCTAATGCTTTGTCGAACCAAGTGATTGCATCCTCGTATTTATTTAACATCATTAAACAATTCCCTATTATAATTATACTATTATTAAAACCTTTATAACATAAAGATTCCTAATTACTAGTATTTATTACAATTGACTTATCGAAATATGTTAAAGCCTCATTATAATTCAAATCCAAATATAATTTCTTACCTAAAGAATTTAATATTTAGGTTACCTTAATTGCATAGATCTTCAGCTCGTTCAATATTATTGTCATCAATTAAATAATAATTAAATGATGATAATTACAATTATTCATATAAATTATTAAATGCATGATTTAATTTCTTTATCTATTCCTCAATGATTTTTGAAATTGATTATTTATATTCCATTAATTTAATAGTTGAATTCAAATAATCATTAATTTAGTAAGAATTCATATTCACTAACCTTTCTTTAACTAATGAATATTTATTTCTAATTCCTTTAGTTAATTAAGAGAATGATTGATTCAGAGTTTCTACACATTTGTTAAGATCATCAATCAAATTGTCACACTCTTTATTGTTACTTTCAATAAATGGAATCAAACTGTTAACTTTTTTAACATCATCAGAATGAGTATGATGAATTCCCTTTTTAAAACAATCAAAACAATTTAATCGAAATCCTGTACAAAATTCATGATAACAAATAAAATCAATCTCTTCTATATGGTTATCTTCTTAACATCTTAACTTCAAACTTGCTTATTAAATCATTTTTATATTTTATATTAAATTTATAATCATTCTCAACCACGTATTTCTATTATCCTAATTCTATTAAATTATTTTACATTAAATATTAATTTACTTAAAAACAATTCAACAAATGCACTTCTTCAACCAAATTTCAAACCAAATAATCTATTTTTCAGGTATGGAATTTTTAATCAATTATTTATTAATTATTTACATTTATTGTGATTATGTATTTAAAATCATGTACTTGATTCATCTTCACTTGGTTAAAAACTACTATTAGAATTTTCAATGTTATTTAAATTCATAAAATAATTATTAAAATAATTAATATTTTGCAATAGTCATTTCAATTTTAGATTTATAACCTCTGAGAATTGCAGGAATTTATTTAATTTACAGTGATTTTTAATAAATATGAGATTAATAATTTATCTATGAGTAAGAAGTATCTTTTCTAGAGAATTTTAAATAGTACTTTTCTAAACTTATCATTATTTAAGAAAGCATAATTTATTCATATGAAAATAATTTTGTTTCGTTATGATCTATAAGTGGGATTTGTAACAATATTTTATCTAAACTGACAAGCATTAAAAATTTTATGACTAAAATAGTTATATAAGATTAATTTTTAAAAGGTTTGTTTTTAATGACATAAGTGCTATTTGATTTAGAATATTCTGATTATAATTTTGATTAATTATCAAATTCAAGATTCTTGATGAGAAATTTCCCCATTCAATTGTCAAGGTAATGTAGCCAAGATTTTTGAATCAAAAAGTTAATCCTAATTTTTAAAATTCCATTTTCATTAAATATATTATTGTTTAAAATTAAGTCGATGCCTTTTTGTTTTTTTAGAGATGATCCTATCAATATAATGGCAGAAAAAGCTTCAATGACCACGTGAGTCCAAAAGCTTTACAAATAAATAATTTTTTGGGTATAACTAAGACTTTAATATCAACGAAACAGGATTAATCATTTAAACTTAGATTAATTTCCTTGTTTTTTACTTCTAAACTGAATATGCTATTACTACTTATTGCGGTATCCAACACAATGACATCTAAATTACTAACTATTATAATGTTCATTAAGCTTGTAATAATTTCTACATCCAAATAATTTAAATGTGTGATTGAATTTAATTGTTGGCATCATTTAGACAAATTAAATTTGATGAATCAAATGTTATTGTAATAAGGAGAGAAAAATTTAGTTAATATTTATTCTCTATTAGTTCGTTAACTTACAAAATCCTTTTTGACTGAAAGAGAAGATGTTCTGAAAAAAGATTGAAATTTATGATTCTAACATACATTCAGCTTGACTACAATAAACTATTCTTAAAATCATTAAATTAAATTTACCAAAGCCTTAAAAGAAGATTTTTTATTGCTCTATTTTGTTTGAATACACCAATAAATTTTTGAATAATTATTAGAAAATATCGGTGTGTTTCTTTTTTTGGTCAGGACATAATTAATATTAATTACTTCATTCTCTGTGATCATACAAGACATATTGTATTCTGATTGTTATACA